TGTTAAATTTTGTTGTTGGATTTCAATCTTACTGTTTCGCCTTGAACGGCTCCTGGTGGACTGAAACCGCGGAAAAAAGAAATGAATAAAACTCTCAGAATGGGCAAAGTGATAGGAAAAGAGCTCTCTGAAAAGCGCAAACTTCAGAGGAGATAAAAACAAGAGTTCTGCACAAATATAACTGTGGCTGATGAAAACAAGCTTTGGCTAAGTCTGTGAGAATCCCCAGACCTAGTTGGTAGGTGGAATCTGCAGTCGCTTATCTAAAAAGCATTAACGTCTTCGGAATTCCCGTCCCTGAAACGCTATTGGTGCTTTCAGAGATACTCCTAATGCCATTATTCGCAAAAAAAAAAGGACACTAATCAGGCTTAGGAACATTCCCCGTGTAATAAAAATCACTGTTATTGCTAAAGAAATGCTCAAGAGCGCTTAAAGAAGGGGAGGCTCTGCGAAAGAAAGAAAAATAGAATAGAAACTTGGAAACTAAAATAAAATGAAACTGGATGCGTGTTATGATCGTGGGGTGAAGATAGACGACTCGAAACAATGTTGAGTTTGCCTTCTAACGAAAGTAGAAACGTTATTTGTTATATAATAAAGCTTTCTGTCATGGTGGAGGGATGCTGAATAGTAGTATCAGCGCATTCAGCACCTTAGTATTTAGAAGCAAGAAACTATTCCTTTGAAAATCCTTCTAGTTTAAACTTCATACATGTGAAATGTGCACTTGATCTGTCATTGTCTCCAAATAGTTTTTTCTGTACAAATAATTCGAAATCAACAACTTTTTCTGAAAAGAAAAGAAAACAGATCTGTCATTTTTAATAAAATATAAAAAAATAAACGCGTCTGTGGGATAAAAAGTGGCAGATGTATTTAACAGCACATAAGGGAAAGTATTAGGACAAACAGCCTATGGAAAATTTACGCTTCATTTAATAGCTTAAACAAAATGGGTTTTAAAAGAATTTTAATGTTCGAATTTAAGGACATACTATACGACTGAATTGATATGGGAAGATAGATACTAATGTAAACAGCTTTTTAAAATGTATGCTTTATTTCTTAAAATGTTGAATAATACTGAATTTTCAGTGCATTTGGTACAAAGGAAAAGATAAAAAGAGGGTGAGAGAAAATAAACTTTTCTCAAATGCAAGAAATCGGTAAAAATTTTTAAAAATTATATATTATTCCAATGGGATAAAATATAACTTTGAGAATTTTAAAATGCACTTAGATAACACATAATTTTTCAGAATGTGAAATGAACAGCAGATGCACATCGTAATTAATGCTTTTAAAATAAAGAAGAGTAAACAACTTGATGAGATATAATCTTCGTTTAAAAATGAAGAACTGACATTTAAATCATATTTGTTGCTCAAACTCGAAAAGTTTACTTTCTCTCTCTTTACCTTTTCCTTTGTACCAAATGCATTGAAAATTCAGTATTATTCAACATTTTGAGAACTAAAGCATACATTTTAATAAGCTGTTTACCTTAATATCTTCCCATAGCCGCTTCAGTCGTATAGTATGTCCTGCAATTCGAACATTAACATTCTCAAATTTTAAAAGATACAAGACTGATCAAGTACAGAGAGAGGAAATTTTTGAGAACGTAAAATGACTAGAAAATGCACATGTTGTGTTTTTCAAATGTGCAATATAAGTCGCTATTAGTCATAAAATTTGAACTATTTTAAAAGTAGAAATACAACTGGAATTTCTTGTACTTAAATAAAAGTCTGCTTCTAATTAATCAAAAATTTATGACATAATATTTTCTAAAGCTTAGCAGGCTTCGCATAATAGTTTTCCTTAACTGGACCCTGAATGCATGAATCCTGTTAAGAATCAAACTCATAAAAATAAGCATTTCCATGCTCATCAATAAACGAAATTTGATTAAAACACTGCTCAATATTAAATTTATACCTACTAATTAATTAAACACTTTTATTGTAAGATACGTTTTATAAAAGAATAAGCATTTATAAGCGTCCTGATTTTTAATTACGTAGCCTATGATTGTGTTGGAAAGGGTATTTATGATGATAAAATTTTGAGATAATATGACAAATAATTAAGAAATTTTTTTTCCCCAACAAGCAGACAGTTTTCGAAGAAATTTTCTTGTGTTCGTAAGATAAGAATCGAGATTAAAATAATTTTAATGGCAAAAGGATTTCGATATGTATAATACTGAGCTGATGTGGGCTCCTCAAAATACCAAATTTACAATCCTTGCACTACAAAGATAAGACAGAAACATTTTTTAAATGTAAAATAACAGAAACTCTTCGCAAGAATTTGTTAAACAGCTCTAATAAAATAATTTGTTTCTCAAATTATAGAAATCCAAATATTTGATTAAAAATGGAGACAAGTGGAAGTAAGATTTTAAATAAAATTAGGTAGTAGTAGGTGCAAGTATGTTTTGACAATATGCATGCAAACAGAAAACGAAAGTTATTAAAAAAACGTGCGGTAAAATGAATGTAAATCAAAGTTTTAATGAGTTCATTGTTAATGTTCAAAATATTTGCAGAGAAAGAAACCTCGGAAACTGAATCGATCTACTTGAATAAAATAAACAAATAAAAGTGTGTGAGGACCAAACAGATCTATCGATGATTTGAGTGATTTAGTTGTGAGCTTGAAGTTATCATGGACATTACTGATTATGTTTTCTACACTATAATGTGAAATCCATTCTGAACCATGGAAATAATAATTTTAAATATTGAATAATATAATGAACTAAGTGCACATTTGTCATTAAAATAATATGGAAATGAAAGTTTGTAAAAACTGCATATTATAATGGACCAGCTGTAGCCTTGTCGATATAAGAAGTACTTGTCAAGATATTAAACTTCTTGAAGAGATCCAGGATACACTAGCATAAGAGATAGCCATAAGAGAGAGTAACATTAGCCATAAGAGCTATAACATAGCCATAAAAGACATAACAGATTATTAAGATTAGAGATTAGCCACAACAGACATAACGTAGCCATAAGAGAGAGTGAAAATGGCATGTCTTCCGTTTAGCCTCAAAAAATACAAAATGAAAATTTTAAATCAAATAGCTGTAATGACTATAGTATCTTTGTGTTACACGATGACTATAAATTATGGAAAGGGATCTTGACTTAAAGACGCATTTTTAATAGGATTCATGAGTTATGAACAAGCCTGTCATATAAATGTTAAGTTTAGATATTTGCTTATCCTTTCAAGTGTGTGGTCAGGATACAGAATGCCTTTTTGTGTAGATGGATTTTTGATTTTGTGGCTTGATGTCTGCTTTGCTTTAACTAATCAATTCGACTTATGCTGTCGTAATGTACTTATTGGGGCCTATTTCATGAAAACACAGGATAATTACTGGCGAAAACTGATGGTAATTACCAACTTAAAACTTTAGTACCATTGATATTTCTAGAATTTTCATGAGTGAATGGAACAAATCCTTTCAATGACAAAAACTTTTCATATTTACAGTTTATTAAAGTCCACAAAAAATTCAGAATCTATACAAATAGCAATACATTTAAAGCACGAAACTTCCATTACTCATAACAAGTTAAAAGGCATTTATTAAGTTATATGTGGCTTAAATTAAAGGATAACTATTGAAATATTATGGAATTTAGATTACTTTATGTCTGGGCTAAAATTTAAATCAACATTAAATAGTGAAAATATTAAGTCCTGCTTTGAACACACTGATTATTAATTTGATTTATTTCTTGTTTTGAATCAAGAGAGAAAAAGAGGTTTATTCTTATCTAAAGAAGGCTAGTATATTTTCGCTAGGCTAAATAATAATACAAGTACGTCCATCCCTGAGAGAGATAGCCCGTTTGCGCTTTTTTGCCATACAATAAACAAATCCCATTAAAACTTACGATAAGGATTATATTTAATAAATTGCACTATCAAAATGACTATAGAAAGAATGCGTGATGATTTTTTACCCTCCAAGAGCATTTTGGTTTTACAGAAAATATAATGCCTTTAATAATGTGCTTTAAAAATTTAGCTTTTTTACCGTCAAGTTTCCAAAAATGTTTTTGAGCATGGCAAAATGATTTACTTATTTATTTTGTATCATAGATGAGCTCTTTGATTATTTTAATTCTCGCCCTTAAGGAAATTTACCACTTTATCCTTCTCTTCTGATTCTCTTCAGGAACATTTATGTGTATCTAATATATGATTATCCATGAAGAGTTTTAAATATCAATATTTCATCACAAATAGTTTTAGATATCAATATTTCCTCACAAATAAAAAATACTCCTTTTCATAAAGTTATTTCATGAAGTTAAGTTAATAACCAATACTTCGATATAATAAAGTATTTACTTTAAAAAAGTATTGATGCATTTTTGCAAAATTCGTCTCTTAAGTTAACTCACTCTACTGGAATTTCAACTGATAAAAATGTTAAATATAGAACTAATGAAAATTGCAGGGCACAGGTTCTTAATAAAGCTAATGATAAACATTATGAGAAATTATGAGAAGCAGTTGAAATGACACCTGGCAAAATTTCATTTGTGTCTTAAATTTTACTAATTTGTGTGTGTGTGTTTTAATCTTGTATCACAGAAAGTTATCTGTTAGAAATAAAACTCATCATATTTTACCATATTTGAAACATAACATTGCATTTAATTTAATTTGGTTATTTACATGAAAAAATTGTAAAAGAGTTTTCATGTTATGTTTAAGCTTATTTATCAATGTTTGACCATCTAAACTATTGGGTTGCTTCCCCGAGATTTTTTTTTAACCTGTATTTTTGTTAAGTTTAACATACGTACTAGTTTTCTCAAATTTAACTATTCTTCACGGTTTCATGCGCAGAAGTTTTAAACGTATTAAGAAGCTATAAGTAGTTAACATATCAGCATTTAAAAAAGAATTATATATGAAATATCATATAGAACTGTACATAAATTAAACTAGATGAAACTTACTTCAGGTTCTCCATCTCTGTTATTAGGATCACTGGCAGATTCTTAGCTTTTTACACGCAGTGTAAATAACTATTATTCCATAGTGCTCTGGTTTTACTAATGCTTGTATATCCCTCTTCAGCGAAGCTTTTAGCATTGCATTTTGAACGATTTTCTTCCAAATAATGTTACTGAAGATATTTACTATTAAAACGCAAGTGCCTATTATACAACATGTGTCATTTTCCATACCTTCAAATCTTGATCTTATAACAGCTCCTTTTTGTTTCAAAATGCAATCTGCAAGTGAGAGAAATAAAAAAATAAATAAGTGAAAATGAAAAGAAGTATATCCTTTTGAGATATATAGATCCAAATAGAATATATATATATATACAATTTTAAATAATTTTACAGAATATACAACTTAAAGCATGAAGCACATCAGTAGAGTAGTTTTATGTACATTCATGTATTGGCTTAGTCTTCAGTAACTCTTGAAGTTAGAAACCACACTGACTAATTTTGTTGCTTTATTCTCTGTTTCGTAGAAGGTAGAGATAGAGAAAGAATTAGCAGCAGATGTGGATTGTTAATTCTTTATGTATATGACAAAATATTCGGAATAGAAAGGGAAAGAAAAAAAGCGAACTAAAGCCTTTTATTTTTATCCTTTTTTTATTATCCTTTCTTTAGCAGATTCCTACATTATTTTTAAAGGTCATAGTTCATCTCTCTGTGTATATATGCGTATACGTAGTATTTACGGGGAAACAAAATAGAGCTTTACATTTTAACAGATAAAATGCAAGTCAATTTGATATGCTATAAATTAATTGTTATAGATTACAAACAACTTCTGAAAAGCACAAATGCGTTTATATATATATATAGATAGAGAGAGAGAGAGAGAGCTTGATCCCAGATAGCTTAATTGAAGTCATTATGTATAATGACAATTTTCACTGTTTCTTATCGAAGAGCAAAGAGAAATTAGGAAAGCAAATAGAAATTCTTACTTAGCTTCAAATTTTATTCAATAACACGTCTATATTTTTAGCATAAGCGTTTAACTATTTAAAAGAAGAAATATTTCATCGTCTAAAAAGAGGAGAAGGTCTGGCAGTCAAAACAAGTAATATTCAATACAAAATATTCTAGAGAAGAAACAATGGAAGAATACGTAAATGAAGAAATAATAGTAATATTTATAACAAAAAGTAATGGGTGACATGTAAACTCTTTAAGAATTAATTAAATTCCTTTTCTTACAAATATTTCTAAAAGTTGAATTGCGGCCCTGTATTTCATTCTCCCCCCCCGGGCTTCTGCTTTTTTTTTTTTTTTTTTTTCTTCCCTGCCTTATGTGAAAAGTAAGGTTATGGAAAATGGGAAATAACATTTTCTCTCAAATGATGTTACACACTCAGTATGGGGTCTGTACTGGAGTATCTGTTCATCTTCAGAACAAGAAACGGCGGCCATTTTGTAGTGTCTTCTTTCCCCACTTCATATGCAGTGAGCTACAGCTTCTGTAGGGGGGAAGAAGACCATTGCGGGGCAAACTCGATCTAATAGGCTTAGAGACTAGAGGTAGGCGGGAACTAAAGTCAGTGATAAGTGGGCGTTGAGCTTAAAGGTGAAAAGAAAGCGGTCTTCTATCGATTATTTTCGATTCTATGGTTATATATGTGGATTAAATAGACACTCATAGGTTCGGTGACATTGTATCTATGTGTCCAGTTCAACTGAACGAACTGTTTAATTCTTTGCCTGTCTTTTCTAATTTGAGTAATAAATGCATCCGATTTAAAATAAATAAATAGATAAATAAAATAAAATGAAATAGGAAGGTGGAGAGACAATTATTGTAAGGAGTTGTAAAGGACATATTATTAGACAGATTTATGTATGGTGCGCAAAAACTTACCCATTTCATTAAGCAAAATTTAAATATATACATATAACGAAAATTGTAACAAAATAAGCAATGGAAATTATTATAAATTTCTTTAACATCTTTTATAGTTGTTTGTTTTATATTGTAAAGATTTATATTTAATTAAAAACTACTCAGACTATGAATTCATTTCTTTAAACGGAAATTAAGTTAAATTTTGAGAGGGATGTCCCTATTTTCGCAACTAACACAAAGCGATCATCAATCCTTTCCATGCCAACGCCATCTTAGGGACACAATTCGAATTAATAAGTATATCTTAAAAAATTACCCTTAGGAGCGAACTAGTTCGTAAAGACTAAGGCAACTGTTTTTCAAAGAAATAGACGATAAGGAAAAGGAAGTTAATGATGTATGTTCCGTTGGTAAATCTGAGTTACCCATACGACGCCGTAAAAATTCTTTTTGAAACTTCATTCACAAAATTATTCATATTATATTTAAAATTTGCTTTCAGTTAAACTGCGAAAACCATTTCAAATGCATCAACATGAGCGCAATACTCATAATTTCGGCTTTTTTAAATCAAATGGTATAGTAATGAAAATAAAACAGTAAATAATCAATCTTATTTTAATAATCAACAAAACTTTAATATATATATATAAACACGATGTGAGGCATTTCAGCCGCTACTGCTTCTGTTAAAATGTCAGTAAAAAATTCTTGAATTCTTGTCTGAATCAAATTTTACACTAGTGAGCATTTCTTACATCTAAAAATCACATCTGACTCTCAAAACTGAATCTCCTCAAGCTTGTTTTTAAATTTTGCAATTAATTTTTATTGCATTCGTTAACATTAATTTTAGTAGCTTACATGCTTATCTTAAGTTTAAACTCGAGCTAGTCCTCTGATTAGAGATGAAAATAATGTATTCAGTAACATCCAGATGCTAGCAAGATGACATAAAAATGGGAAATTACTATCGAAACTCAACACTTCTACAAATTTTCACTTTCGAAATACACAAGAGATTAATCGTATTTCTGTTACAAGCAGCAAACATTTAATACATGTTATACTAGTTAGTATAATCTCATTAAAATAATAGGGCACACGAACGTTACATAAGAATGTTATTAAAAGAAACATAATGTTACAGTCAGAGAAAAGTGTCGTTCTCTGGCATCATTATAAATACTCATAATATTCGTTTATTAAAATGCTTAATATCATTTTGTTTAAACTATTGTTAAATTTCGGCTGCATTATGAATGTATTATTAAAAAAATATACGTATAAATAAATTCTAATATAAACTGCATAATGTGCTGTATATTATTATAATAATAGGGTATGCTTTCACATTAGCTAAAATTTGACCATGTGCATTTTGAAAAAGGATTTTATTTTAATTTATGCAGATACTAGATGAAATAAGTGCAAAGAGAAGCTATGTCTAATTTTCAAGCAAAGGGAAAGGAAAGCAAGGAGAAAAACGAATAGTAGGAATGCTTAAGTAAATAAAATATGATAATATATGAAGAGTGGAAAGGGAACAAAGAAATAGGAAGAAGATTGGGGGGAAGCGCATTAAAATATAAATTTCGAGTGCAGGCAACGAAGCTAAACCGGAATAATTTGATGCCAGCAAAAATCACCAACATTTTCGATACCTATCATTTATTACTTTTCAAAAGCAGAAACAAAGATGAAATATTTCATTTTATTTGATTGAAAACATTGATTTGAAACATTAAATCAATTTCTTAATATTTTGTTTCCTTTATATTTCATCTTTCATAGTTTAGTTTGGTTTATGTAATTACAGCAAAGTCTCGAGGGCTCTCTGCCTAACGGAATGCCTTCGTGGAGGACTTTGTAAGGGAAACTGGCTCGTATACATGTTACACATGGGGAAAATCGCAAAAACGCCCATGCAGCCAGCCCCTTCGCGGGATTCGAATCTCGGACCGAACTACCGGTGTTCAGCGACTTTACCGCTCGGCCGCTGGTGGGCCATTTTATTTGAAATTGACTCAAATGAAATAAAATATGTAAAGAAATTTGGGTAGAGATAGGGGAATGAAATTTTAAGATGGGTGGAGTTCTAAAATCAAAATTATTATTGAATTTTGAATTCTTACGGTAAGGCTACTGATTTCGCCTTCTAGGAATGTTTCCAAGAATTTCCAACGAATGTCTTTTTCCTAAAGTTCCCAACGACTGCTTAATTTGCAAGAGTTGTAGGTACGGGTAATCTTGGTCATATATTATACATTACTTAGCATTGTTTGTGAATATGTGTTTTGTGTGTTTGTGAACTAAAAACATAACTCCTATCTAAGTTTAAAAACTAATTATAAATAATGCTTTATCGCATTTTTAATTTCTTTAACTTCATGTTCGGTTACAAAACAATTCTTGGACAATTTTTCTCTTTAACTTAGGTCAGCCTTACTAATAATTATTCCGATTTTCACTGTTTTCCTAGTTTACATGAGAACAGAAATTCATTTAGAAGCACTCCTACGAAATGTTTTAACACGATGAGCATTATCTTGAGCAAATGTAAGAATAAATTCCTTTTTCTTCTTTGCTTAAAATTCAGTGATTTCCCGACAGAACAACATAATAATTTTTACTCGGCATGTTTCCAAGATCAGCAGGGTTTTACAAAGTGACTAATTTATGTGACGTCATACGAACTACAGCTTTCCTGTGCTTTACTGTAGCGACTTGTTAGAATCACGGACACCAGCTGGTTCATATTACTCGCACAGTTTGAAGCCTTTTGCAGAAAGTAACATGTGTTGTTACCCATTCTTTCCTTCCAGGGCTTTAGTAAAGACAAAACAAGTACTATACGGAAAAGAATAATCAGTTTTATGCTTCAGAATCGCACATCTTTAATTCAGTGTTCTTTATTTGCTTTTAAGGGTAAGAATCATTTATGATTTGCATTCAACACATTTTTCTTCACTGCAAAAATTTCAGACAATGATAAGAACTCTTTTATTTCATTTTTATTTTAAAGTTTATATTTTTTGGCTAAATTCGATTTACAATTCCGCTCTCTACCTTTCGTCTATACAAATCATTTTTAAGTTTTGGGATTTCAAGGAAATACAAACTGTAATTTTCTATGGGAAACTAATTGCTAATAATTAACTTTCTAATCCGCATATAGGAGTTTTCTGACACCTAACGTTTCTTTCATTGCTAGAATGTAATAAGATTCATTATGCAATTACATAAATGGATTCTTAATTCCATGTATCTGGGCACTTTATACTGCACATGTTTTTTAAATAACTATCTAATTTCTGTTTAGCATTTCCCTCAGACGGTTTAAAAGCAACGTTTCCTCTAATTTTCTCACAGCTGCACTGGGTAG